ATAGTGTTAAAATGATTTGACTGTTACTTAAATGGCTGATAGAGTGGAGGAAAACATTCTGTAGAGTGCACTGACAGATTTTATGCATGACGAATTCAGAATTCCAGGCAGTATTTCTGCTGGTGTGAATGTACTGGTTTAGTATGCTTATTTGAAGACTGGGACACATCCAGTTTTGTAAGGTTATATTTATTTGTTTATTAAATCACTCCCTAAATCTGCTTAATATGGCAGGTGGTATATGGCCACACTTGATTAACATGTTTTTGGCTCTAAAATCTGCTACAAATGCAAATAGTTGGTTAGACTGGTGTTCACAACATGAATACTGCGAGATACGTCCTTTTGGTGAGTCTAGATTCCCCCTTCACAATATTGACGTCGACCACCATGTCTATGATGGTTTATGAGTTTCTCTAAAATGAATACCACGGGAATCAGTTCCACAGTCTATCAAGGATACATGAAACCACAGATATGAGGGAACTTTATATACAGCATATAAGGGGGCAGGACAAAAGGGGGCACAAGGAGGCAGGGCAAACAACACAATAGGCACCCTTGTATGTTGTACGTAGGGCTGCAGCAAACCACGGATAAGTGAAACCGTGGAGATGGAGTCCACGGATATGGGGGATCCTACTGTACTACTTTCTCCATCTGAGTTTTGTCAATGTGATTCTTTGTCTCTGTTCAGAAAATTCTACAATCAGATCTGTCTATTTGTTATAGTCAGATATTGTTACAATATCTGCTTGATGCCTTTAATTGAAACATCTCAATTTAACAACGAGAACAACAAAAAACCAACTGAAATTAAGTTAACAGACCTTCTTTAACTTCTCCTCCCTACCTTACATTTAACAGCCAACTATCCTATCATGGGTTATTGTGTGTTTCCCTTCAGCAGGCCTTCTTTCGTGTAACTGGTCAGGTACTAGTTGTGAAATCAGGTGTCCAACTAATCACATGAAAGCCAGCACCTCCCAGAGAAAGCAGCTGCATTATTAAATAAGCATTATTGCAACAACTAGTTCATCACTGTTTTATTGGGAGATTCCTGATTCATTACCCAAAATGGTCAGCTGATCAGCTATAAGTTAGGAAATAGCTGATAGCAGATATTACTCTGTTTGTTATTCTGTTAATAGAAGAGCTAGTTATATTTTCCAAATCATCTTAACCGCTGCATTAATAGAAGTATCATTTCCAAATCCCACAAGGTGCTAGTCCCTCTCTATTCAGCACTGATTAGGCCACACCTTGAGTATTGTGTCCAGTTCTGGACACCACACTTCAAGAAGGATGCTGACAAACTGGAACAAATTCAGAGGAGGGCAACAAGGATGATCCAGGGGTAGAAATTAAGCCCTACGAGGAAAGATTGAAAGAATTGGGCATGTTCAGCCTTGAGAAAAGAAGACTGAGGGGAGATATAATAGCACTTTTCAAATACTTGCAAGGCCGTCATACAGAAAAGGGGCAGTATATGTTCTCAATCATCCTAGAGTTCAGGACATGCAACAATGAGCTCAAGTTACAGGAAGTCAGATTTTGGGTGCATATCAGGAAAAACTTCCTAACTGTTAGAGCAGTATAACAGTGGAACCAACTACGAGAAGTGGTGAGTACACCAACACTGGAGGCACTCAAGAGAAATTCAGACAACCACCTGGCAGATATCCTTTGATTTGTATTCCTGCATTGAGCAGGGGGTTGGACTTGATGGCCTTGTAGGCCCCTTCCAACTTCACTTTTCTATGATTCTATGATTAATACAAAACAAGCAGAGTTTGGGTTGCTGATGGTAAGAGAAAATGACTAGAAGAAACTGGGAGTACGAAGAAACTACTTTCTCATTGCTCTTCAGAATCAGAGTTGATAGGAAAGGTTACTTTCTCATGTCATAATGCACCACAAGGAGCAAGTGCTTCTGTAGATCCCCTTGATAATGCAGAGATTTTAGGAAGCAGGTGCCAGAGATATTGCTTGCTTATATACAGTGATCCAAACTTAAAATATAAAAAATGAGGAATGTATTTGGAAGTTCATTCCAACATTTTATACGATGTGTTTTTGCACATCACAGAATCAGCTACAGGATGGTGGGTCTTTTGGACTGAAAAGAGAAGAAATAAATGCTCCTCCCTCCTGTATACACATATAGTATCACATGTTCCGGTCTGAATTTCTTCATTCTCACTTGACTCCTACCAGGTGGTGTGAGATAAAAAAAAGTAACATTTTGAGTGTCTCCTGCATTTCTGAAGCAATGTCTGTACAGGAGATTACCTCACTTCTGTCTGGTGCTGTATTTGCTTCACACATGTTCAGATGTGATGGTCTTTTCCCGTCTCAGCCTTCTGTATTACAGAACCATCCTTTTATGTACATAAACTGAGTTTGGCCAGAAATTGGTCTCTGCACCAACACTTCCCTATCCCACTTTTTTAAAAACATTACTGCACATAGTTGTTCAATTGCAACAGTTTTAAAATAAGTAATACTGTCAACTATCATTTAATCCCTGTATCCCAGCCTGTTCCAATATAGAGCCTATAGAAAGTAAAAATGGTACAACGCAAAGCAAAAGCATGTAGTAGACCAAATCTAATGTTAGTCTTATTTGGAAGAGGCTCATTGAGATGAACTTTAATCACAGCTGGAAATAGGTACAAACCTCAAAAATCGTGCTTTGTGATGGTTCGTGTTTAGCGGCAAACCACCATGAACCAATTGGAAAACTAAACCAGTTTGTAGTTTTGTTTCGGTTTGTGCCCGGTGCTGGTGGGCCCACCTGCTCCTGTCATACCACCACTGCTGCACTGCCAGACTGTCACCACACTGCTATCGCCACCACACCATGATCAGCAGGTCAGGCATCTGCACAGAAGCAGTGCCCAGGACCCTTGAAAGGAAGCTGGTTGCTGCCTTCTGCACAGGTGGCCACCTCCCAGTTGATCAGAGTGATCAGCTGGAGGTTGGGTTCTTGAGCATAGGCAGGGTCAAGGTCCTTGTCATTGTGCAGCCACACCACCACTGCCACCACTGTGACAGCAGCACAACAACTAGGAGCCTGGAGCCTGCCTCTGCTCAGGCACCTGATCAGTTGGAAGCCAGGGGCATGCACAGAAAGCACTGACCAACTTCCCTTCCAGGAGCCTGGGCACTGCTTTTGAGAAGGTACCAGAACCCCTGCTGATTGTCGTGATCAACTTGGGGTACATTAGGGCACATGCACACAGGCAGCATTTAGGCTCCTGGTAGAGAAGTTTTGATGCATGTGCCTGCCTCTGTGCATAGACCCTGATCAGCTGGTCTGCGGGTGCATGCACAGGGGCAGAAGGCCCAAATCTTGGAAGAGAAGCTGACCTACTTTCTCTGATGATTGCAGCAGCAGCAAAAGTGGGAGCAGCAGCAGAGGCAGCAGGATCAGGCATGGAGACAATGGGGGCAATGGGAAGGAGGCAGGTGGGCATTGGTTTTGCCAAAGGGAAATAAAGCACCAAAGGGGAAAAGTTCAGCTTTCCTGGGTCAAAAACCAAACCACAAACCAACCTGATTTGTCAGTTTTTCTGGTTTGCAGTTTGGTTCACACCCACCTCTAGTCACAGCTAACACATTCTATTGCTTTAAATGGGTCTAATTTACATAGGATTAACATTGGATTTAGCCCAGTGGAAAAGCAAGTGGTAGGGTAAACTCCTGAGATCCAGAAAGAATGAAATAAAATGCAGGAGATTGGAAGCACAGTTGGAGAAAAGTTGGGTGAAAGGGCTGACTGGATATGCTGAGTGCTCCCCAAGAGGGGAGGCCATGATGAACTAAGGCTGCCATGATGAACTAGACTGCTAAAAACTTTTTAAAAAGGTTCCTTCCTGGAGAAAGGATTGAACAACTAATTATTTAGTGCCACCTTTAAAAGGGGATCTGCCCTCATAAAAGATGCATGGGTCTGCAACATCTGGTTAATGTCTCTAAACAATCATAGAAGCCTGCCTTTATTTGATTATTTACTTAATTGTGTCTTGTTGCCACTCTTCTACAGATCCATCACAATACTAAGAGTCTTTTTCTAACATCCCTACCCGATTCACAAAATGCTCACAAACTGTCTGTTTCGATATGGAGGTACATTACACAAATATATAGTGTGGTGCAAAGTATAACAAAACCAAACTAAGTGGAAATCCACATGGGCATTTGTCCCGCTGTTTGGTGTGCTGATGGGTTGGGTCAGGCTGCATTTTTTTCTGGTGTACACATGTGGTCATCACTGAAGTGGGCCATTTTTTTCCCAAACTGCATCTTTTTTAACCCCTGCCAGGGGGTTGGCTACTCTGGTATTGGATGGAGGGGTCCAGTTATCTGTTCCCAGTGAGTGTGGTTGCTTGGAATGGGCTAAAATGGAGCTTTGCAGCTCCTTCCAGTGGCAGTTTCCAGTATTCTGAAGTGGCTTTTTTTTTCATTATTTGCCTGTCTGTGCATTGCCGATCACAATGGTGACTGTAGGCAGTTTCTTCCTCAGTGATACAAGACAGGCAAAGAAAAAAAATAATTTAAACAAAGTGATTCATCACATTAGTGTTGATCTAGCAGGCGTAAAAAATAATTTCACTTCCCCTGACCTTCCACAGCCAATCAGGGGAAGTGCTTAATGGACAATAAATCAGGCTACAAAGCAAAGTGTGCAAAGGATCATTTACTGCTCGGATAGGAGGAATGCACCATACGGCACATTGCTGCTGATCCTGACCTCAACCTACATTTCATACCCCAATCCAGTCTGCACCAAAATGACCAGTCTGGACAAGCCCTAAGAAGGAAATTACAGGTTCTGATTCATTCTCTTTTTTCCTAACCCTATCTGCATTTAGCAAGCAGCCCTTCAGAGTCCAGTGAGTCTTACAGCTCCATTAATTGTAGTTTGTTTTATGTCTCCTCTAGATAGTTTTTGCACATGATTAGAGTCCTATAATAAATGTGTCTTTCATACATAGGTAAAGAAGGAGATTATTCTCACACTGATACATCAGCAGAAAACCTGGAAAGAAGCAGAGAACGTACATACCAATGGCTTCATACACAGGTTTGGGATTATGAAGGACCTAGTCCCCAAAATGAAAAACGGTGAGATCATTTGCCTTTAAATTAGATTTTTGGATTGTTTTACTACATCATGTAACATGAAACCCATCTTAATTGTCCTAAACCAAATATGCCCTTTTTTGCCAAGGGCCACTTTGCCAAGTTTCAAACATACTCCCATTGAGAATTAATGTAATAAATTTGACATCTCATTCTGCCACAAAACGTTGTGAATTGCTGTGACATGCTAGCATTGCAATACCTCATCATAATATCCTCAAATATAGTTTTCTGTCAGGAATCCAAATAGCTTTATTGATGAAAAATGTGTTGTTCCTATACTGCTCTAAAGTATTTTTCAATAGCTAACCAGATATACTAAAAAAATAAAAAATAAAAAATGGAAATGCTAAAATATAGAAGTTGGTGCATTTTAACCAGGCATGAGCTACACAAAGAGTGGAAACAGAAAAGAAAAGGGTAGCACCTTGGAGAAATAAACAGAAACATGAAGGACTCTAGGAAAGCAGAGGCGTATATTGTTTCCAAAGGTCAGCATGATTTTGAGTAATCTTTCAACTTCCTTTATTGTTTGGCTGATGGCACCTTCAATAGCTAAACAAGCAGATTCACATTTCCAAACAGATGGAAAAGTTCCTTTAAGGAGATATATGTGATTATGCAGGTTACACATTGCACCCACCCCCAGTGAGCTAGATACTTATTTTACCAACCTTGAAAGGATGGAAGGCTGTGAACCTTGAGCCAGCTACCTGGGATTGTACCCCAAGTTGTGAGCAGACTTTGACTGTAGTACAGCAGTTTAACCACTGCCCCTTGAGGCTCCTCAAAGCTTCAGTTATAATAGAGATGGCAGAGCCATGCAGTATACAGTTGTGCCCCGCTTAACGATTGCCCTGCATTACGATGAATCCGCTTCATGATGTTTTGCAATCGCAAAATGATGGTGTAAATGGGGGAATTTCACTTAGCGATGAACAGTCCCCTGCTTCAGGAACCGATTTTCGCTTTACGACGATCAAAAACATCTGATCGTCGGGTTTTCAAAATGGCCACCGGGTGCTTAAAATGGCTCCCCATTGTGCTTAGGGACGGATTCCTCACTACACAGGCACCGAAAATGGCTGCCGTATGGAGGATCTTCGCGAGACGATGAGCTTTTAGCCCATTGGAACGCACTGAATGGTTTTCCATGCATTTCAGTGGGCTTTTTAATTTCGTTTTACACTGTTTTCACTTAACAGTGATTTTCCTGGAATGGATTATCGTTGTTAAGCGAGGCACCACTGTACTGTGCACACAAGGTTCTTCCTAGGCCCACCATCCCTAATTTGTGACCCATTCATGTGGAGAACATCGATTAAATAGATGCAGTTCTAAATATTGTTTAACACTTTTGAATAATGAATCAAAAAGTTGTGCATGTAAAGTATTTTGGAAAAGTTGATAAAGAAAGAAATATGCTTGTTTAAATAATTACAAACTACTAACATTTGACACTTGTTAAATCAGATAATTATATTTTATCCTATATACAAATTCACTGTGAATATTTGCTTAGAATAGCCATTTCACATGGTTTGCAGGAACAAAGGCTATTACCCCAAACCCATTTAATTAAAGAAGGATAGTTGATTCCAAGTAGTTATGTTTATGACTGATGTATCACACAACCTGCATGAATGCCATTAAAACGATCTAGTGATAACTGATATTATTTACGCCTATGATCCTTAAGGCTGGGGAAACCTGGAAGTCTAAAAAATATGAGATCAACTTATATAACCTTGTAAACTGGATTTTACATAATGATTTTTTTTAAAAGTTCAGCAGTACTTAGAAAATACATTATTAAAATAAAAAGAACAGTAACCAGAATCTTTATTTCTGTCGGTTAGCAGCAATCCTCAAGCATTCCAACAGCTTATTTTTCAATCATTCCCTATTATTAATTTTTACTATGCCTTTAACTAGAACTAATTCCCACTGAAAGTGGCTGAGATCCTATTGAATTGTTATGTGGGTTTAACTTGATTTTAGCCTATAGTGGTTGAAATAGTATGATGTAGTGGATAGAGATGGACTAGAGAATCAGGAGTCCTGGTTTCAAATCTCCATCCATGGAAACTCATTGGAGGTATGGATGTGTTAAAACCACTCCTTAAATATCTCATTTACCTTGAAAGCCCTATTCAGTTCACTGTAAGTCAGTTCTGACTTGATAGCACATAGCTAAAAAGCTACAGTGGTGCCAAAACAAAAGTGCTACCCATAAAGTGCTTCCACCAGTGCATTCAGTTGTGATGGGAACTTTGAGGCCAATTGCACAATTGCATTGTGCCTGTGTTCCCTTGGTGTAATGCCTGACAAAGTTATGCCTGCTTAACTTTTGTGTTGTGCAGGGGTGAACAGGATTCTGACCCCCAGGATTTAACTTTTCTGCATGCATGTGCTGAAATAATCTTTGCTTAAAATGAGACAAAACGCCATTTATGCAACCTGAATTATTTCCAAATCTTAATTTATTTTTATGTGTGTGTGTAGTAAAATAGTACTTATTAATGTCTTTCAGAAGCTACTTCTGATTCTACTTACCTAAAGTTAATGGCAAAACACAGTTTGAAAAGATCTGAAACATTGTGGGCAAACAACAGAGTTATCTAACAAAAACCAAATTTGTTACTATGTAATCAAGTGTTTGAATAAGATTAGATAGTGATACGTGTAATTTATACTCCTTCAATAAACCAGTCAATTGGTTTATTGAGCAGTGAGTAATTACCTTATCTGTTCTAACCAAATTGTTAAAAATAATATTCTTTAAACCCATTATATAAAGTCAAAACTCTTAATGATATTAAGCTAAACATTCTTTATGACTGGTAGTTTCCAACAGTAGGTGCCTTACAGCCCAGTTGAAAACACATTTATTCAGAAATGAATCACTTTACACTTACTAATGATTAAATATGCTAAAGATTGCAGCATTATCCCAAGATCTAAGAACTGTACAACTATGTCTTCTATACCCACCTATGTCTCACAGAACATCTTTCCAACATCTTACCCCCACCCATCCACTTGCTTTTGAAACACAGAGACTTAGAAAATGAGTCCGTTGATATATGGTTTAGGTTTGCTTTTCAAAGCTGCAGCGGACATCTTCATGGGCAGACCCAAACTTATGGAGCAATTGATGTAGTGATTTAGATCCTGTATTTATTCATTCTGGTACACTTCAATATAGCACTGATTTTGCTGTATATTTTTATATTCCATAGCAAGCATTTCTTACCTGAGATAGATCCGGAAATTCTCAAAGGAGGTCGAGTTCAACTTGTGGTAAGATGTTCCTCTTAGAATTGGCATGGGGTGAGGGTCTACAATTCTATCCATTTTAACCTGGAGCTGAGTTTCGCTGAACACAGTGGGACTTGCTTCTGAGCATGCATAGGGTTGTGTTGTAAATTGTTTTTGAAAGCTGTTTTGAGGTATTTCTGTAGATTCGTAAATTCCATCAAGTTTTTCGACTACTGAACTCAAATACACCTTTATGACTTACAAATATGCATTATAAGTCACAGGCCACTGGCATTTATCAGGTGTTGGCTGTCTCCCTACATGCCCTTGCAGCATGTCTTTTTCTTACAGCAGTGTTTGTCCCTCTGCGCATGCACACACACATACACACACACACACACACACACACAAACAGAGAGAGAGAGAATGGAAATCTACAGTCCCTGTTATGCTCTTAGGCCACTGACTTCCTAAGTCTACTTCCTATGATGTGCAACAGAAAGCATTCACATCATCCCACCTCCTTCTGTGCCATAGCACAATAGTGATTAGCAAAGATAGTGGAGCCAAAAAATGTGAAACTATGGCTGCTATCTGGGTCTCAATGCACTTCGTACCAATTCCAGGTAAGAAATTTCATATATAACAGTATGATAGCTGTCTCTCCTTTCAGTAAAAAGGAAGAACACATTATTCCTTCACAGGGAATCATGTCTTAAAAGAAAACTGAGAATTGCAGATATGAAACTTCAGGTGATTCTAATACATATTGCTTTTCAATATTTTTATATTTGCATTTATTTTACTATTTGTACTATTTGATTGTAAGCTGTCTTGAGCAAGGTGGATACGAATCAAGTAAATAAGTGAAATAGGAATACAAGTTTAAAATGCTCAGTACAAAAAATTCATTAGGAACAACAAAGGATCACCATGTCCTTTTGAGCACATCAAAAGAACAAAAGCACTCCAAACCTGATCAAGGAGATTGTAACACATCCTTGCAGCAATTGGGAGAAATATTCTGGACACACAGGGTAGGATCAGGAGAGGTGATCTCTGAGTTATGTAGGTTGCCATCTGTGCAAAACATTGAAAGGAAGAAAAACTACTTCCAGTTGGATTCCAGAATTGATTAATAAGCAAAGCTCTTTGCTGCAAAAGAATCTGACTCTTTCCCCAAATGTAAACCTTTACTAAGATGGGGACAGCAGCATTCTGGATTAGTTAAAGCTTCTGAATATGTGGGCAGACCTGCACAGTGCACATTCCAGAAAACATGTATTGGCCTAGCTAGGCCCATGTTCTTGAATAAGGGACAACATCTGTATAGCAAATGAAATAAGGAAAATTACTATTAGTCCACAACAAGGAATAAACATAAAATGACAATGTTAATGCATTATCCACATTTCTTAGAGGTCAGAGGTATTGCCTTAGACTTTGTTTAGAAGTTGACTGGAGAAATCAAATAGTCAATTAGAATGAACATTTATTATTTAAGTCCTGTTTCTACATAATGAAACTGGTCTTCCCTGAGACTAAACCAGCCAATTTCACTATAAATGTATAACTGGTCTTTATATATATATTTATATATACATTTAGTAAGATATACATTTAGATATATATACATTTAGTAAGATATATACATTTAGTAAGATATACATTTAGATATATATACATTTAGTAAGATATATACATTTAGTAAGATATACATTTAGTAAGATATATATATAAATGTAAAACAACAACAACAATAACCACCTTTGAACTGCATAGCTGGAAGTGACCCTATGGATCTACATATGGAATAACTGCTCTTCCTTGAAACTGAACCAGCCAATTTCACTATAAATGTATAACTGGTCTTTATATATATTCTGTTGCGTTACGGATCCCACTCATCCTTCCAATCGCACCGGAGCACTGCTCTCTGCCCACTCGGCTGACCACTTGGCAGCTGTGCAGGGAGACTCGGAGAAGGAAGAAAGTAGTGCTCCAGGCATGATTGGAAGGACGAGTGGGATCAGCACCACAGCAGGACACGTGAGTGGATGGTCCAGATGTGGATGGGGCCGGACCTTCATTAAGTCCAGCTGCATGGGGATATTCATATTTATATATGAATACAAATACCCCCATTTTTAACTGTGATCATTATAAAGGACAAATTCAAACATCAAAATTGTGTTACATATAAATAAATGTGTTCAGAAATGTGGTACCAGCTTTTGCATTGCATGTATTGTAGAGAGATGTATACATTTAATCAACGAAAACATCAAGTTTTATAATGCAGATGTAAGATTCGCAAAGCACTTCTATTGATGTATTGCACAATGGTGGCAGTGGAAATTCTGTTACCAGTTGCACAATTGGATCATATGATTCCTTTCACAATACACCTGCATACACAGGACTTCTTCATGGCCTCTGTGAATGCACACAAATGGGTTTTACTGTGCCTGTACAGGACTCCTCGGAATATTCTAGAGCTTTAAAAGATGTGATTAGTAGGATGTTGCCCTGTGGCGCACATGTTCCACCCGCCGGTATTACCTCAGTTCCTTTTAGCCACTGCTGAAATTGGACTTCTTGGGACTTAGAGCTTGTAATTGTGATTCTTTTTGTGATTCTATGGTATCCTGATCTTTGGATTGTTTACAATTATGCTTCTGGATTACGGACTCAATCAAGTTTTTCATTTACAGATGTTCCCTGCGAGTTATATTTTTCTTTGTCATTTCCTCCTCTTTCCCCCTCCCTTCCTGCCCTTTTTATGGCCTCCTCAGTCCCTTTCAAGTGTTGCACGATGTGTGCCTGTAAAATTCCATTTACCTACAGCCAAGATTGTTGGTTGTACTGTTTGAACGAGAGTCACCAAACTCAAAATTGTCCAGAGTGCAAAAAATTAATAAAACCGGCTTTAAAACTCTGACTACAATGTTTGAGGTCTCACTTGTTGGAGAAATCTTTAGCATCATCCAGTCTACCGACCAGCCCTACAATGGAACTTACCCCAGTTCCACCATCTCAATCTGTGTCTTCTATGTTGCCTCCTATCTCTCACCGAGGTCTCCTTCTAAGGCTTCCAAACCAAAATCGCCATCAGTATGAATGTCGACATCGATGTTGAAGGCTTCTTCGCTGTCAGCTAAAACCCAATCTAGTAAGAAGCTAAAGGATAAAGATAAGGTTAAACAGAAGAAAGCAAAGTGGGTTCCTAAATCACATCAGTCTCGTGAACATCCGGTGGCCCGTGTTTCCCTCCCATATCCAATTCTGGAGGAGTCGTTGAGGGACATTCCAGATCGAGGCTCCATCTCTGAAGCATCCCTGTTTGGGCTCAAGCTTCAGTATCAGTACCAAGCTTGTCGCCAAGTCATGGCCATTCGGAGGCGGATATCCTATCCAGCCCGGCCTCGCCCATTCTAGCCTTGTTTCAACCGGGCGGGCAACTGTGATACATCTATCCAATTCAGAGGCATTGGTATCACAATCTCTTCCTTAGAAGAGGACAGCGAAGCGGTGTCATGTCTCTCCACCTCCACAGTACCGGGAAGTACTTTTTGTCCCACACCCATCTCGACACCATGCCTTTCCTGAATATGAAGAGCCTCTTTATGGTGTCAATCGGTATGGTGATAGCCACCAATACCAATCCCACCAATATGATCCAAGGTTTATCTCTGATTATTATGAGCTTCCAAAACACATTCAGTACGCTTATGCTCCTTCCAAATCCCTCTCAGTCGCCATTGCCACCTCCTTTTCAAAGTCGGCATCAAACCACTTTCGAGCCCACTCCAATAGTACAAAGATATAAGAAATCTTCCAATCATCATTTTTCTACTTTCTCTGCTGCTGAAGTGCCGTGTCAACATAAGACCACTCAATGCGAGACCGTTCCATCCAAACAACAATACATGGTACCGTCAGTTCTGACCTCACGACAATCTATCGCATCATCTGGTCCCTCTCAGACCATCAAGCTCTAACACCAACCCCTCTCGCTTCTGTTTCTCAGGATCGTCGGTGCTCCCCCTCCCCAGCTTTTCCATCTCAGGTGCATCTTTGGCATTGGCAGCTTCTGATCAGGTTTCCTCCTCTGAATCATCCAAGGAGTCCCCGTCAAACTTATCAACCCCAGTTTCTGATGTTGCCGATATTCACCCTCCATCCCCATCTAAGGATTTCACTTCTTATGCTCAGCTGATCCTGTGCATGACCAAATATTTGGAACTGGACATTGAATAACCATCTCCCCCTAAGTCTGATCTTGTCTTCAATGACATTAATCAAGAAAAAAAAACCCTCCACTAAGTTTGGCATTCATCCCAGCAATGTTGGACCTTATCAAGGAATCTTGGGATAAATCATCGACATCCTTACATATCTCGAGATGGGTGGAAAATCATTACGGCACTCACAGCACTGATACAGCATTCTTAATTAAGCATCCTTCACCAAACTCCATCATTGTGCAGTCAAACCAATCCAGAGCAGGCAATCGATCCCCAGTTACCCCTACTAATAAGGAGGGAAGGAAACTAAACGTGCTTGGGCGTCATTTATTTTCTTTGGCATCCTTCGTTATGAGGGTCTCCAACTACCAGGCTGCGATGGGGGCCTACAACAGACAGCTGTGGAATAAGATCCTCCCTATCCTTTAAGCTGAGGAGGTCAGAACCAGTGCTCTTAACACTCATCTTGAGGCCATTACTTTAGCCAAACAGCAGCGTCTGGCAGCACGTCATATGGCTGGCGCTGCTTCAAAATCTCTGGCTTCTGCTATCTCCCTTAGATGGCATCCCAGACTTTTTATATGTTTCCATGGCCCACGAAAGGGTTCTCCTGCCTCCTCGCAGACAGTATCGAGGTGGATTGTTTCTGCCATTACCTTGGCTTATGACTTGGCAGGCAAATCTCCACCAGATTTGCTGAAGGCACACTCCACGAGAATGATGGCTACGTCTACGGCATGGTGGTGTTGAGGTTCCTGACATCTGTCGAGTGGCCACTTGGTCTACACCCTCAACTTTTGTGACACATTATCATCTGGATGTCAGGGCCAAGAAGGAAGCAATTTTTGGAAGGGCGGTGCCGACTTTGTTGTTGGCTTGACGGCCTTCCGTCCGGTAAGTGAGCTTGCTAGTCACCCATTTTTGTGCATTCACAGAGGCCACAAAGAAGAAAGAGAGCTTACTTACCTGTAACCATGGTTCTTCGAGTGGTCCTCTGTGAATCTACGCATCCCGCCCAGCCTCCCTGCTGTCTGTCACTTGGCATCTTCAGCTTTGTTTGAGTCAGAGCCTTGACAGTGGCAGACATTCAGAACTGAGGTAATACCGGTGGGCAGAGCATGCGCACCACGGGGCAACGTCTTTTTAAGCTTATATTTTTAAGCTCTAGAATATTCCGAAGAGTCCTGCACAGGCACAGTAAAACCCACTTGTGTGCATTCACAGAGCACCACTCAAAGAACCATGGTTACAGGCATGTAACATTTATTAAATTTTGCCCACTGAAAAACAGACTTACAAATAGCAGACTTTCAAACTGAGCAAAAGCAAACTACCATGCACATTTCAGTTTCAACTGCTGTAATCAGTACAAAGGATGAATTCAAACATAAGCACAAATATAGTCTTACATATAAATAAGTGTGTTTAAGATTGTGATACCAGGTTTGGTAAAGTACATGTAGTAGGTAGGCATGCAGGATTTTTCTTTTAAGTATGTGCACTTGCAAAAAAATAATTGCATTAGTTTCATTACTGGATCTCCATCCTGCATTTTAAATTGTACTGACAAAAGAACATTTTCTTTATTTATTCTATTCTCTGAAATCCATCAACATATTATACTTTAATGTAATTATCTTATGCAATCTATGTGTATAAAACCTGTTCTGAAGGTTTGGTTAGGTAGCAAAGATGAAATTACCTTCTTGATGTTTGTTGGGTAAAACTGATACTTGCTCTGGATTAAAGACAAATATGGCAAAAAATAATCAAATGTTACATTTCTGGCACTCAACCCCAACTTTAAATTATAGACTGTTCCATAAATGATCTTAAGCTGTTTAAGGTTTCATCAGTTGTCTGCAAGATTTATTTTCTTCAAAATTACTGTACTAAAATGTTGTCTTTTATTGCCGCGCCGATTCTGATCACAAACCACAATTTTAAGATCGACTCCTATTTACAAAAAATGCTTTGACATAGTGCATTTGTTCAGGCTAGGCAGCAATAAAGGATTGTGGGATCATTCTGAAGAAGATTGTTTGACAGAGCCGGCTTGTTTGTTTGAGAGTAATGTGATCTGCATTCAGAAAATGTCATATTTTGTTTCTTGATTGTGTACATTCTCTCTCACTGCTTCCAGACAAGCCCCGTAAGAAGAGAAGACACGGATTTAGAACTTGTTTCCATGACCAGCGCAAGTACTTTGACTCAGAACAGAGAAAAAAATAATCAACCACACAGACACTCTGCAGAATCTTCAAGTAAGTTGTGATTTACTTTTAATAATCAGTTAGACAAAGTTCACCCACCCAATGGGCTTCAGCATCACAGTCCTTTTTAGTAAGACACAAATGGCTAAGCCTATGCTTTTGGTTTTGCCCTTTCTTGAAATATTTGCCTTTGTGGATATACAATTCATATACAGAGCTATATACAATTGTGTGTGAATGCACATAATGTAAAAGATATAGAAATAAATATGTATATATGCATTTGGTGTATGTGAAAATTAAGAATCATCACATATGTGTTTAACTAAAACACATAACTTAATTATTCATTGCTGTAGGCCATTCTAAATCCTTCGATGTTTCCTTTACTAAAGGCAGATATTTGTCTACTTCTTTGGGTCCAGCACTGAAGCTGTTTGCGCATAGATAGCTTTCACTGAAATGAATGGCACATTTTCATGCAGTTAGAAACTGATGGGCTTTCATTTAAAATGAAAATATTTTACATGTCCTTTTTTATTGTGTTGCCTCATAAGTATTTATTAGTAATGACCTGAACATCTTGGAGGTGAGGAATAGAGTTCCTGAAGAAAAATATGAGCATCTCAGTTAATTATGTATTGCCAGCCCATATGATTTATGGATCTAACAGTAAGAGGTAATGTGCCAATAAGTAAGTGGTGGGACAGAAATTGTATTCCTCTGACATTATGATGCCATTATAGTCAACAGAAATGTTTAGTAACAAATGACATACAAGGACTAGAGAACTGTTAATCAGAAGCACAGTAGTAAATGCTACTTTTAAAAGGGGAAATAGCTAGGGAGTTGTTTAAAATAAAAGATTTACCAGGAAACAAGAAGCAGAAATCTTTAAATAAGGAATGAATAGAAGTTGTGGCTTACTAATAGTTCAAATAAGAACAATAAATAACTTGAAAAGTTTCGGTACATTATTATGGTAATAATATTTTTACTAAGTCTGTTTTGCTAATTTCTAAAATAATTCTAATTTGTAAAATATATAGGCTGAAATCCTCTTGCTCAACAGAGTAAGTCAGAATTGGAATAAGTCTGTTGAGTCAGTGGGGATTTGGTGAGTCAATTCCTCCACAAGTTCCATTGGTTCAGTCGACCAATTTTAGTTCTAATTTGCTATGGTAAGCAATGGGATTTCAGCCACTGGCTTTGCTCTAATTTTATTGATATACTTAGTTTGAAGCAAAGATGAATATCTTTCTGAATCTCCCTTCATTTTAAAGTTCGTCATGTAAGACTGGGAGTCTTGGTGCGAAAACAGACAATTCTTTCCTTTTCTTCTTTTTACGGTTAATCCAGGCTGTTGATAAAATGCCTAAGACTGAAGTCCTATGAAAACAATTTAGGAAATCCACATTAAACAGTGGGATTATTTCCAGGTAGGCACACCAAGGATGGCACTACATGAAACAGGCATTTCCAAAACACATTTTTGTAATAATTTAAACAGCTACAGTAATTTTACCTAGCAATTTTAAATTGTTGCAATGCAAAATCTCTCAAATTGCAGTCAATCAAACTGCAGATATCTTTAATTTTGCATGGATCTGTCAGATGTTATCCCTTAAATTAAATATGAAAACATATATGCAAGTCATATGGCTTCCAGTTCTTTTCTTTAAAAAATAAGGTAAATGGAGCATATTCCCTAGCCAAATCTCTCTCACCAATAGATCCCTCAGATCACCTTCTCACATTCCACATTGTGAGATGTGAGAAAGTAGGATGAATGCTTCCTTTGAGCTGATTTCTGTCCCATGAATTTTTATATATCTGTGTTTTGTGTTAATAAGTTGTACAATGTGGATCGTTTTAAGGGAGTATCCATTTTGAATACTTTCATTGTTTTTTATCAGTGACATTTATTTTACCTTAATATTTATATAGGTTTATATACAATTGTACATCCAACATATATAATAAAAAATCTAGCATCAGGCCAACAATGATTTTTTTTTTAAAAAAAGTGTAGCAGTTTTTTCAGCCCAAAGCTACAGAACTCAACTTATTCCATAAAATTTCACTGATCTAAACAAGGATTAAATCAGTCATTTTTTCATTAAACTGTTGATTTTTCTCTCTCTATGCTGTATTTGCTGTAAAGTAATACAATATGGTAAGGGCTTTAGTATAAATTATAAATCAAGTCACACAGTGTTTGATATGCTGGTAAAATTCTATGATGTCTTAGCAGCATTTCTGGCATGTCTGTCCACTGCTCTGCAAAGTCTTTCTCTCCCCTCACCCCACCCCTGCCTTTCTTGCTCTTTTTGTTAGAGATTCTAGGTATTTCCTATATGGCATTACATCAAAAGAGAGTATATGTCAACTTTGACTTTGGTTAAAAAATAGAATATTTGGTCAAAAGGCAGAGAGAGACCAGAACAAATGATTATCAAAGAAAACAAATTAAAGAGAAAACTTACTGCTTGGATAAATGATCATTCATTTCTAAATTTATGAAGTCTTTTCAGCAAATAATAAATTCAGTCCCTGTTTTTTGTATATGCAAGCACCTCAAAGTCTGCATTAGAATATAATTAACATTTTGAATAGTCAGGAGAAAGGATAACCTACAGTTAGCTGAACCAATGGAAAGTTATTTTTCCAGTAACCACCACAGTTTTGCATCCTAATATTAAATGCAATCATTAGAAATAAATCACATTGATTTCAATTAACATAAATATTTATGTAATTTGGCAGAATATGATAAATTACTAGGGAGCTGGTGAAGTTCCAGACTAACCAAAGTGTAAGGGCATCATGTAGGGTCCCAGGAATACTCCAAGTGAAATACAGATTTCAGAAACACTGCTATAGAATATCAGCTCACCCGTAACAAGATGCAAGACTCAACACTGCTTCTTTCTGCTTCCTTTTTTCTCCTTCTAACAAATGTATTACATCTGGAAGCCATGAATAAAGAAGTTTCAATAAAAACTAGGGGTGAGAAAACTCGAGTTGGGTTTAAGCAAGAACTTGAAATTGGAATTATGCATGAATACAGTTCTGTTCCAGCAAACTTTGTGTAGATTTTAGTGAGCTTGCATGGAAGAAATTTCTGGTTGATTCATCCCATAATTTCCAGTTATGTAGCAGAGAAGGCAAAGAACACTTAGAAAACAATTCATTCTTGGCTATATCCACTGGCAGCCATTTCGCATTTTAGCTGTCCAATAGAGCATTTCAACTGAAGAATAAAGAGTTCAAGAAGCCATACCTGTCCCTCCCAATTCCACTGATTTCCACAAATCTCATCTGGTTTTAAAAACCAAGCAGGATTGGGCCTGATTATTACTTGGGTGTGAAACCACTGGGGAATACCAGAACTCTCCAGATGGGACTAGAAAAGTATCCTGTTTCAAACCCCTGGAGAGCTGCTGCCAGTCAGAGATGACAAGGCTGGGGTTGAAGAACTTGACAAGATGGTTTGACTTGATATAAGGCAGCTTCCTGCATTCCAAAGTTCCTATCTCTTCTCCATCAAGTAGAAATTTCTAAAAGCCTTCCAATGGGGATTTCCAGCATCCTGAATATGGATAGCTTATATGAGAAGGAAGTGACATGCCTTTTCCTTGTGTAGTTCTGTCTAGATCTTTGGTGCTACAGGCAATTATGGAACCACTCAATATCAAATTCGATAATACAGGCTTCTTTATTGCAGATATATCTTGTGCAGTTAATAAGTTGGATTGCGAGTATCTGTTTTAAAAAGCATAATATTCTTAGCACTGATAAACAAATAAGCATTCCAGGGTGGTTTAACGATTGGATGATCTCATTTTGACCATGAACAATGACTCCTGCTGTCTCATCAGTTCTTTCTCAGCCTTAATTACTTATTTATTTTATTTATTTAATTTATATCCCACCCATTTAGACCGAAGTCTACTCTGGGTGGCTAACAACAATATTAAAATAAAATAAAACAACAATATTGATATACTAGAAGATGGCAAAATAAGTTAGGTATCAACAGGAGAGAAGGCCTGTCTGAAGAGCCAGGTCTTAAGTTGGTGCTTATAAATGCCCAGCGAGGGAGACAGACAAATTTCTGGGGGGAGATTGTTCCACGGCCGAGGGGCCACTGCCGAGAAGGCCCACTTTCTTGTTCTTTCTCTTCGGGCCTCACTCAGCGTTAGGCCCTTCAGCCGCCCCTCCTGAGCGAGTGATACAAGTAGATCTAGGAGGGAGAAGGTGTTCTCCCAGATATTGAGGTCCTAAACCATTTAGGGTTTTATATGTCATCATTAATATTTTGAAATCAATTCAGTTACGAAGCACTTTACTGCAGTGCGGTCAGATTTTCTCCTATACAAGCCATATTGGAATGAAATGGAACTGGGAGTACAATTTTATTCCTGCCGGAACTCTCATTCATTACACAGCCATGCACAAGATGCTCATGACGGGTTGCATCCTATGCTTCTAGATCACAGGTGGGAATTGTGCAGTCCCGTAGCTCCCATTCCTTCTGAACCCTCTGAACATCACTACACCTGTGCACAAAGGTCCAGACATACACACACCAGCCTCCAGGGGATGCAACTGGCCATGCAAAGGCCAGTGGGGGTGGTTTAGATCACAAATTGCTTTTAATAAAAATAAAAAGTTCCAGACACTTCCCAATTACCAAAAAAAAAAAAAAAAAAAAAAAGACAAGGATGTGGCTTGCTGAGGTCCATGGAGGTGTTAACGGGGTCTTCTGGGCCCCAGACATTTGTGGCTGCACACACACATGCATATACGTACACAGATTTTAAGTGGTTATCTTGTTTCACATTTGACCTAATCTTCCAAAGCAGATCTGCCAAGCCACTTTAAAATAATTTCTTTTGATAAATGGAAACAGTTCCCAATGTTTCCAGAGGCGTAAATTCTTGATAGGAAGTAAGGAAAAAAAGAAAATTAATTTCATAAAAATAGACAAAGAAACAATTCATTCCTTTGCAACATTTAGAATAGGCAGCAAAATATAATGACAAACA